GCGGGCAGAACGGGGCAGGAGGCGGCATCGAGGATAGGGCGAGGATGAGGCAGAGCCAGCGGCGCAGTCGGCACCGCAGAGCCCGGATGGAGGGGAAGGAGCCATCCGGTGCCCTGGGGAGCCGCTCAGCCAGCCAGGAGATGGGTCTGGAGGAGGCCAGCCCCATGGAGGGGGCACAGGATGGGGACCAGCGTGGGGACGCAGCCTCAGCGGAGGCGCTGATCCAGGGGGAGCCAGAAGCGAGCGGAGAGCCCATCAGGTTGGTACCTGGGGAGGGCGTTTTGCAGTTCGCGCGGCTCCTTGTCCTCTCCCTTATCTTCTCCCACCTCTTTTCATTCTGCCTCCCTCCCACAGGACAAATGGGGTCCCTGCTGGTGATGCCGAGCTGGCTGGGACTGTTGAGGAGGGGAGCCCCCCGCAAGGAGCACCCGAGACCCCCCGGGGGAAGACGGGCAGCCTGATAGAGCAGGACTGCAGCAGCCTGGACACCAGCGAGCAAGCGCTGCTGGAGGCCAGCCGCACCGTCAGCCGGAGCGAGCCTGACCTCTCTTCCATCACCCCCAACACCGAGAAGGCCACGGAGAGCACCACCATCATGATCGATGTCCACGACTCCGCTGTGGTACAGAGTGAGGACCCGTCTCTCTTTCCTGAGCCCCTCTCTCGGCCCTCAGGGACCCTGGGGTGGGATGGAAAGCTGCTTCCATGGCTTTTCCTATCTGCATCCATCAACTGGCAGGGGGCAATTTTCCTTGCTGCCCCTTGCAGCGCCTCCCTCCAGCACCCCAGTTTTGCAGAGGAGCCCAAACGCAGTGCTGATGTGCCACTCTCCCCAGGAGAGCTTGTCCCTTTCTCACCTCCTTCCCACCCGCCCTTTTGCCTCATCCCATTTTTCCCCACTTGGGCAAAACTCTTGCATCCCCTGTTTTTCCTAACACATCCGCAGCCTCCACCCAGCTCGCTGCTGCTCAAACCCATTAACAGCATCCTCACTGTCAAGGTGAGATGCTTTAAATGGTTTTATTAATTAAACAGCACCACAAAAGCTGGCCTTGTTAAAACCTCTTTCATCTGCTTCATGCCGGCAGCTTGTGTCTTTTCATCCCTTCTGCTTCCTCTCCCTGTAATGGCACAGGGATGCGAAGCAGAAACTGGGGGGGTTGCATGTGCCTGGGTGGTAGGGACACCCCAGGTTGCTGCCTGGGTGCAAGACCAAGCAAAGGCTCTTGCTTTCCTGCAGTTAGCAACAAGACAGATGGAGAAGCCAGCCCCTTAAAGGAGGCTGAGACCAAAGAGGACGAGGAAGAGATGGAGAAGAAGAAGCGGAAGAAGGAGAAGAGCGAGACGGGCAAAGCGATGGTGCCACACAGCTCCATGTTCATCTTCAGCACCACCAACCCGTGAGACATTTTTTGGACTGTAGGAGCCCGGGGCTGGGGAGGGCTGCCAGGGGACGGACCCCTAGATGTCACTGAAAACAGGGGACCCTCTTGGGAAGGGGGCTGAATGTCTCCCAAAGAGCCTGGAGAAGCAGCCACAGCATTCCCCAAGCCCCGGGAGCGCTCTCCCTCTGTGCCAGCCACGCTCGTGACTTTCTCTCCCAACTGCTGGTTGCTAGCTGTGATTTTTATTCCATGTTTGCTGCATTTTTCTGCAGTTAGCTGCTCCCTGTAGTTCTTGCCCAGCTCCAGCAGCCTAGAAGAATAAGCCCCCCAGTTTCTCAGGGACTCTCCCTGGCTGGCCACAGGGTGGTGGGGGGCCTAGGACAGCCGAGCAACGGGGTCAGCAAGCCCAAACCACCCTCAGGCTCCCTTATTTCGCTCCTCAGACTTTGCTGCCATCTTTCTGCTCTGGAAGCTGGCAATGTGGGGTGGGTTTTGCACATGGGCCATGCCAGGGGCTCACAGGTCAGGGTGCGGGCTGTCTCCCTGCAGGGTGCGGCGGGCTTGCCACTACATCGTGAACCTGCGCTACTTCGAGATGTGCATCCTCCTGGTGATTGCCGCCAGCAGCATCGCCCTCGCGGCGGAGGATCCCGTCCTCACCAACTCTGACCGCAACAAAGTGATTGCAAACCTCCCCTGCTTCCCCCATCCTGCAGGCTGAGGTCCTGCGGGATTTTAGTTTCCATGGTGGGGCAGCATGTGGGACACGGATCAGGGCAGCTGATGGCAGCGCTTGCACCATTCCATGGGATCTGACTTCTTCCTCCATTGCCTTCCTTTATAAACCCTGGAAATCCCTCTCAGCCTCCCACACGTGAGGTTTAGAGCTTGGGGAGCAGACCAGGGCTCCTTGTCCATAGTAAAGTAGCTTAAGCTGGGGAGATGCTGATGTCCACAGGGGTTGGTATGGGGGAGCATGATTCCGGCTCGCAGCATGATTTCAGAGCCACTTGCACCATGCGTGGGGAATGTTCCTCTCTTGCCTATGCAGGCTGGGTTTATGGCTGTCCTGAACTTTTAGGTGACAGGTTGGGTTTGGGGCATGCAAAACTGACCCTCTGTTGGCACCTGAGCCAGGCAAGCGCTGGGTGTGGGGGCAGTAATGGGATCTGGATGGGTGCCAGTCAGCCCATTTGCTTGGCAGCGGCTGCAGAGCGCCCATGCCCTCTCTCTGCAGGTCCTGAGGTACTTTGACTACGTCTTCACTGGTGTCTTCACCTTCGAGATGGTTATCAAGGTAAGAGGCCTTGCAGGCCAGCTGCTCTGGGGGTGCTGAGTCCCACATCGTCCTTGCAGTGGGTGAGGAATAGCTCAGTTTTTTTGGTTCTGGTCCTAAATTTGGATGATGGAGACTTAAAGTTCTTAGTGGTGGGAGTCTAGAATGCTCAGCACCACTTTTGTCAGTCTCTGGCTCCAGGCTCCCACAAAATATGATGCTCCTTGCTATATACCTGGGGTGTAGGGCTGGGTCCTCTGCTCCCCAGCGATGTCCCTGTCCCCAGCGTGTCCTGCCTACGGCTGCTTCCACTCGATGGCTGAGCTGCTTATTCCCTGCCTGTTTTTCTCAGATGATCGATCAGGGCTTGATCCTGCAGGACGGCTCCTACTTCCGAGACCTCTGGAACATCCTGGATTTCATCGTGGTGGTGGGAGCGCTGGTGGCTTTCGCCTTGGCGTAAGTGGCTGTGTCCTTGTTGGCTCCCTGCCTTCCCTTGGCCGGGGTGGGAGGAGGATGCAACCGTGTGTTATGGCTACTAGACCCTGATTTATTTTTTTTTTTATTTCTCTGCACTCTTCTGCTCTGCTTCTGGGGTGGCTCCTGGAAGGGGTGCGTGGCTGCTCCAGAGATGTATTTTTCCTTGTCTATCAAATGCTGGTGAGCAAGCAGGCAAGGAGCAAGGCAAGGCAAGCTGGAGGTGCTAGGAAGAGGTTGGTGGTGAAAGTGGACTTGAAAGAGGGCAGAAGGGGCTGTTAGAGAGGGAGAAAAACTACAGGTGGCAGAGCTGGAGTTACATGCCTGCTACGCATCTTGGGGCGCACGGAGACAGCAAAATCAGTAGCCTGCCAGGTGAAGCTGCCCTCTGAATATGTTTGTGCTGGAAATGGTACCCCTGGCCGGTGGCTTTTCCTCTGGTCCAAGAGGGAGCATTGCCCTGGAACCCTGCAGGGATGGGGATGCAGCCGGTGGGGTTTGTGCCTGTATCCTCTGCAGCATCGCGCTGAGGGCAGGGTGCTGTGGGCTTGCTCTGCAGCGTGTTCCTGTTGAGCATCACCTTGCAGTTGGGCTCTGGTACCGAGCTTGTGGCACTGCAGGGTGGCTCAATGTCTGCAGCACCTGTGCCATGGAGGGGAGAAGCGTCCAGGGATGAGTTTCGTGCTGCTCTGCCCTCCTCTGTGCTGCCAGCTGGGGCAGGCAGTGCAGCACAAGCTTGAGGAGGGATGAGTGAGTGCCAATGTGATGCTCGAAGGCAAGGGGCACCCCCTGGTTCCTGGGGCTGTGGTGGCCCCTTGGTGCCTGAGGAGGGAGAGGAGCAGAGAGGAGGGTCTGGCACACTGTTGTTCTCTCTTTGTGCCTTTGGCACTGATGGTGGTGGTGGCAGTGCTGGTGAGAGGGGAAGGCCTGGCAGCAGCATATACTGGAGCCCTGTCCTTCTCCACAGCTCAGGTACCGTGCAAAGCTCTCAGGGTGGCTGGCTCTGAGCCCCGAAGTTGCTCGATGGATTGCAGCCCATAATCCATCCCTCCCATCTCACCCCTGGCCGGGCAGCAGCTCCTTCCCCTTGCTCTCGCCCAGTTGCACCCGCCCTGGGTCGTTGCTTTTGCTTTCCTCACCTTCCTCACCCCCTTCCTTGCCTGGTGCTTTCACCTGCTGCTCTCTCCTCAGGAAGAGCATGGAAGAATTCAGCTCGCTCAGCAGAGGGAGGAACCAGTCCTTGGGCAGGGTGGGGGGCTGACTGCAGACCTCAGTATGGGGAAGGGGCATGGGGCAGGTCTGCTGCCTGCTGACATTGCTCTGAGCCTCCGGGAGGCCACCCAGGCCACCATGAGGATGGATCAAGCATCTCTGGGGTCTGGCTGATCCCCCCCCACTGCCAGGGCAGCCCCTCCGAGCATCTCTGGAGGTGGGGCTCAAGAGCATCAGCAGCCCGAAGACAGACTGGGTGGTTTGAGGGGTTTAGGGGAGGACAAGGGAGTCTTTTCATTCTAAGGCATCTTTCATCAAAACTTTTTGATGGCTGAAGGAGGGAAGGTTGATGGCTCAGCCTGCTCCTGGGTGGATAGGTGTCTTCACTCCCACTAACAGTACTGTATTTGGCACTTACTGTCCTCTTGCCCCCACCCCACAAAGGTGACGGTTCCTGGGGTGGCCCCTGGAGCTGGCAGAGTCCCCACGTGCCAGCACCAAGCATATGGGGAAGCTGCCATGCCCCTTCCAACCCTGCTTGCCATTTGCCTGCCTCCATCCAGCCTCCCAAGGGAAGAAGTCCCTTTGGGCACGGGGCAACCGAATTCTCAAGGGCAAGCACCCCCATCAGCTGCAGCACCAAACCCCCTCCCATGGAGAGGGCCTTTGCATCTCCACGTACATTTGCAGCAAGAATCTATGTCACCTGCCCCCTCTTGTAGCCATAGCTGGGTCGGTACTGAGTTGCTTGTGTTGTGGATGAGGGCTCTTTATAATGCAAACCTGCAAGATTGTCCCTCTCCCCCACGTCTGAGGACAGCTCCTGCTGGAGGAGATGATCTCATGGCTTTGGGGGTGAGGGGAACAAAGGAACGGCAGTAATTTCCAGTGGGTTTATACATTACAAAGCATTTATAAGAACACCTGCGTCTCTCCTTGGCAGCCCATCACCGCTGTGGCCCCAGGAGCCACAGGGCGTTTGCCAGCTATAAATGTCCCAACCCGCCGCTCTCCCTCCTTCCCTCCCTCCTGGTCTGGAGAGGAAAACTCTGGAGGTGACATCTGAATCCCTCTCCTTTTCTTCTCCCTCCACAATCTCTTTGATATGGGGCTGGGGGGCAGGGGGTGATGTGTCCTCCCTCTCCCCCTCCTTGCCTCCATGGTGCTGGGTGGGCAGAGCGGTGCCCATGGAGTGGCTGTGGTGATTACGTGGCTGAGAGCGGCTGGTGACCGGGTCCGGCACTTGCCAGTAGAAGAAGTGCTGGGACATGCCATGCCATTAGTGTTTTCTGCCCTTTTTGCCTCCCTCTGCGGTTTGGTTTTCCCGCGAGGGGGCCTGGGTAGCTGTGGGTGCAGCAGGAGGTCTCTGAGCTGGTCCAGTGGTGCCACCATCATCTGCTGGCCATCAGTGCCACATCAAAAGCACCAATGAGCCAGTGTCCACCTGTAAAGCCGTGTCTCCGTGTGCCGTCACGGCTTGTCCGCTGCCTCCTCGGAGCCCATGCATCCCGAGCGAGAGGTCATCTCAGCTCATCTGTAGCTCTCTGCGTGGAAAGCTAATACGTCACTCCAAATGCAGCCTAAATAAAAAGCACAATATAAAACCGTAAATCTCCAAAGAGTTCAAATTAAATTAGCTGAAATAACCAGAACCATAACTAAAGACCCTGCTCACTTTTGCCTCCCGTGGCACCTTCCGAGGAGGCATTGCGCAGGGGAGCAGAGCTCGCTTGAGGCTTCGCAGAGCTGCTGAGAGGTGGTGATGCCTGCGCCTGCAGGCTGCGGCAGCGGGAAAGCTTGAGCGGTGGAGAAGTTGAGCAGTGGTCAGCACGTAGCTCCCGTTGTCTCGCCTGGTGAGCAAGGGCAGGGGTTTTCCACCCAGAGGTACCCAGCAGAGCTGCCTCTTTCTCTGCCGAGCAGCATCTCCTTATGCTTGTCAGCACCGCTGTCTGGAAGCAAGAGGGACCCCTGTGTACTGCAAAAGAACCTGGCATGAGGCCAGTCAGGACAGAGGTCTGATATCCCATCCCAGAAGCGCTGCAGGGTTAAACTGTCACCTTTTTGTCACACCTTCCACCTCTTTCACTAACATGCAGACAGGGTCTGGGGTTATTTTTATGTTTTTTAAGAAATGTTTTACTTCTTAGGCCTGCCCCCAGCGCTGAGCCCCCTGCATGCACATCACAGGGACTGAGCTGAATCAGGGACAGAGGTTTGGTTACAAGAAGAGACCTTGTAGACCACCTTAGCTTGTCCAAGCGGGTATCCTGCTGAGTTGCAGGAGATCCTGTGCTGCAGCTCAGGCTCTTACTCAGTGGCTTTCTTGATGGAGGTGATTTACTAAAGTTAGCCTGTCTGGATGGGAACTGTGGCCTTGCAGGTACGTTCCCTCAGAGGCACCTGCCTTTGTCTGGTTGGGGCTGAGCCTCAGGGTCCCTCCCCAACTTCTGGCCAAGGAAGACCATGCGTCTGCCCTCTGTCACCCACCATCCTACTCTACGTGGGTTCCTCTTGCAGCAGTGGTTTCACTACACGCCCACATCCCAAAACCTCCAGCAGGGAGGGCTGGGGCTCCCGGCTTGCTGGATGAGTCTCTCCCTGGAGATAAGCCCCATCCTAGAGGACACAACGTGGTCTACTCATTGTGCCTTTCAACCCAGGCATGGAGCAGTGGAGGGCTGCTGCAGGGACCCTGCTGCCTGAGAGCCTGCGGTTGTCCCCACGCAGCTCCCCCACTGCTTTTCTTACCTTCCTCTCTTCTCTCTTTTTCCCTCTCTCCGTTGGTGCTGTTTGGTGGCTGCCGGGCTGGATCACCAACAGGAACGCTTTGGGGTAACTATGCTGTTTGGGTCGCTGCAGGGTGCCGCCCTGGGGAGCGTGGGGGGATGGGCGCAAGCGGGTGTCCATCTGTCCCACACCTGTGCTGACCCTTAGGTGCATTTGCAGAGACTGGAGCGTGCTGCTCTGCACGCACCCCTACATTGCCCTGGGATGCATTAAAGTTGGTGTGCTCCAGGAAAGCACAGGTGGGATTTTCTTTGCAAGCACAGCAATCCCTTGTCTTTGGAGGAGGATGCTTTCATCCTGGTTCTCTGTGTCTGTGCAGCACCCTGAGGTGGTGTGAAGCACACCCAGGGGAGCAGGGCATGGGGAAAGCAGTGTCCGCCACAGAGCTGAAGGCTCTGCCCCAGTGGGAGCTTTGCCCTCACTCAATCGCTGCAGGGAGTTCAGCCCTGACTCCTCCGAGGGCATGGGATGTGGTTCACGCCAAGCCCAGGGGGCTGGGAGAGCTCAGCCTCAGCCGTAGACACGTCAAAGCCAGGCTTTCCTCTGGGCGTTATCCAGCTCTATGTCCCATATCCGTGTTGGATCCCAGCACAGGAGGTTTCCTGAGGGCTGAAGAGGTCCCGCCTCAGCAGCTGTAAACCACTGCAGTTGAGTTGCCCTTGATGGCAGCTCGCACCAGCTGAGCACTGCCCTCAAATCCTCACCCCAGCCCCAAGCTGGATGCCCCAGCCACTTACCTAGACACTGATGCTGAGCAAAGCAAGAGATGGGAGGTGCAAAGTGAGGCCCAGGGCTGTTTGTGCAGTTGCTTCCCATGCATTTATGGGGCTGTGCTCCTAGGGAGGACTATTAATTAGTGGATGTGTTTCCATCTCTTAATGATTAAGCCCATTATTGTGCTCCCTGTTGCGTTAACCCTCGCAAAGGAGCTGTGTAAATTGGAGCATCTGTTGTGCTAAGTCATTTCCTTGACATTTTTTGAGGGTGCCTGGTGGATCCAAACCGTGCCACCTTCACTAGGACCTCTCTGCTCCATCCTAGCATCCAGCCCATGGACTTTAGTTAAAAGACAAGAAAAAAACCTGGTATTGTTGTTGGGATTCATCATCATATTCAAGAAATGAGGGTCACAAAGGGGCTTTTCTAAATAATTGTACCAGTAAGCTCTGCCCCCCTTAGCTGACTTGGGGTGGAGGCAAGTGCAGCCCAGATCTGGAAAGGGAAGAGAGGGCTGAGATATTACATGCATGTGAGATAGAGGAGCAGGCTGACCGTGGTGGGTGGTATTGATGGAATAAGGCAGAAAGCTGTAAGAGACAGCATTTATGTGAACAAACCAAGCGCAGAGCAGGTGCTTCCCTAGGGGAATAGAAGGACCATGAATCTCAAGTTTAAAAAGGATGGAAAACCCTTTGTGAGACACCTGCATGTAGACCTCATTGAGTGCACCTCCCTCTCCCTCATTTTACTATGAATTTCTTACAACTGGTGGTAACGGTAGGCAACAATTCGCAGTGGTGGGGGCCTTCTGCAAGCCCTGTCTGCAAATGGCACATGCCTGCAGTAGGGAAGCAAACCTCCTGGCCCTGTTGGGCAGCATGGTTTGGGGACGTGGCGGGGGGCAGCGTGCCGCAGTGCCCTTCGGGCAGCTGCCCTTGCTTGGGGAGAGCGTTTCCTCGCCTGCCCCAGCCCTGGCATCACACTGCTTCCCACAACGAGGGAATTTGTTAAGGTCGCTGCTCCACAGCGAAGGGGAAAGGTGCTAATCCCGAGGAGGAGAGGACTGCTTTATTTTTCATGTCTGCCAGCTGTCAGCGTGGGTGTTGGAGGAGACTCCTTTAGGTAGGCTGAGCGCCCAGCAGTCACCCATTTGTAGGCCTCCTGTTCCCATCGTCACACGTGCTGGGGAGGGGGTGTCAGCAGTTGAAACGCCCAGAACATCCAGCCTCGGGTCTGCAAAGTTATTGTCTCTCCGTTTCATTTTTGGGTGCGTGTGCCTCCCTCCAACACGATAGGACCAACAAGGGCCGGGATATCAAGACCATCAAGTCTCTCCGTGTGCTGCGGGTCTTGAGGCCCCTGAAAACCATCAAGAGACTGCCCAAGCTGAAGGTAACAATCCCCATCTCCTGCCTTATGTCTGTCTTCTCCAGTGTGGACTGGTGGGTGCAGGGACCACGCGCTTCGATTTGCTCGCGAGCAATGAACAAGTAGTTTTCACAGAATTTGCTGTGGTTTAGGAGTCCCATTTCCAAACACAACAGCCTTCAGGCTGCTTCATCTCTGGAGGTGCAGTGAGTTATTAAAAGCAAGCCTGGATCTCTGCAAGGTGTCAGAGTTAGTTCCTCTGCCAGGGAAAGTGGGGTGGAGAGGACACAAAGCAGCAAAGTCCAGATGCTCTCCTGATAAAACAGGCTGCCCTGGCTTTGGGAGAGCTCAAATCTCTTTCCAAAGTTCATTATCTTTCCCACCAGAGCAGCTTGCAAACAGCTCGAGATTTTTTTGTGCTGTGCTCTCATGGTGTTGCACCGGAGGGGGATTTCCCATCTGAATAGTGGGATTATTTATGCAGCGCAGGTAGGATTTTGGATTTCCCTACCTTAGCCGATGGGGTATAGAGCCAAAAAGGAGTTAAGAGACCGAGGAAGCCCTGAGTTTTTTTCACAAGGCGACATTTGGCTGATAGATGAGGCCCAGGGTGGCACCCCAGAGATGTGAGTTTTGACTCCAGCTGTTCCTCCCTTCCACTGGATGGATTCAGCCCATATCAGTTCAATTCTGGACACCTCTGTCTTCATCGTGAAGCAGGGGGATAAGGACATTCCTCTCTTTCTTTAAGAACTGCTGTGAGAACTAGGGCTGAGAGCACAGGCTGGGGAGGTGCTGCTATTGCAGGCAGAGGTATTTGCTCTGCCTTGTTATTCATGGTGATACGAAACAAAGAAGTGTTTACTAACTGGTCTCCAATGCTGCTAATTGCATCATCAGGGCCATCCCCTGTCTGCTGGCCTGGTTGCAGAGAACATGGAGGATATAAATATCCACCCCTGCTGCCGTCTCAGGCTGCTCGATGTCCATTTATGTGCTGGGGGGTACTCCAGGTATTAAACTCAGCCATAAAATAGCCTTCTGTCTGGGAGAAGGCCCAGCTCTTCCCTCCTTTCCGCTCCAGGAGTGGGAAATGTCTTTCCCCATGGTAATCTTGAGGAAGGTTTTGGTCCTGCCCTTTGCCAGGGCTGTTGGTGCCCCAAGGTGAGCTATGCCCTCTCCTGCAGGCCGTCTTTGACTGTGTGGTGACTTCACTCAAGAATGTCTTCAACATCCTCATTGTCTACAAACTCTTCATGTTCATCTTTGCTGTCATTGCTGTCCAGCTCTTCAAGGGGAAATTCTTCTACTGCACTGACAGCTCTAAGGACACGGAGAAGGACTGCATGTAGGTGCCCTGTTCAGTAGGTCTGATGCTGCTGACACCTCTGGCAAAGGCCGAGTGCTGGGTGATGTCGTCTTTGGGTTCCCAGTTAAGTCCTTGGTCATGACCCAACTCTTGGCTGTAGTCTCTTGGGGTGGATGGCATGGGCTGAGCCCTGTCCCCATTGGTCTGTCAGTGCTGTGTATCCTTGCTTGGGATGCAGAGCCCTGTATTTTGTTTCTGTTCTCTTTTCCTCCTCCTCTCTTCCCTCTTGCTTTCCCCTTCTCCCCTTCCCCCTGGTCATTATTCAGCCTCTCCCCATTTCTCCCTCCAGCCCTGCAGGAGGAGAGGTGCCCTGCCCCCCGCCACTGCACACACACGCTGCCCCCGGGGTGTAAAACCACTGTCTCATAGCCTGGCAGTGTAAAAAGCAAGATCACTGCTCTCTCCTAACCTTGCAGAGGGAACTATGTGGACCACGAGAAGAACAAGATGGAAGTGAAGTGCCGGGAATGGAAACGCCATGAGTTTCACTACGACAACATCATCTGGGCTTTGCTCACCCTGTTCACAGTCTCCACCGGCGAGGGTTGGCCCCAGTGAGTATTCTTCTTCATCCCCCCTCCTTGAATGGGGGTGAGCATATCCCCGTTGGGGTCATTGGGTTAATAACTGGCTACACCCAGGTGAGACTGAGAGAGAAACTGCTGGGCAGGGAGGAGGAGAGGAAGGACAAGAAATTATGTCTGGACAAAAGAGCTTTACCCACCATATGAGGCTGGGACCGTGGCTGGGGTCAGCTTCTTCCTTAGGGAGTGGATGATGGATAATCCCTTCTGCTGTGCGGCCCTGAGGTATATTTTAGCTCAGTTTTAGAGATGACCATAGGCCCAGCCCTTTCTTCATGCTCATGGGCAATTTTTTTCTCTGTATGTGGAGCACTGGAAGATCCATTTTCCATCAGGAGCAAAGGCAAAGCACCATAAAACAGGCTGTAGGGTTGTCCTTGTGAAGCCAATTCAGACAGAGGTTTGTCTTATCATTGTTACAATTGTGGACAGACAGAGCTGGCTGTACAGAGTGGGTTCCGTGAGAAGTGCCATGTGGTGGCAGTCTGGATGGGCATATTTCTGGTTGCTTTTCTTCACCTGTCTGCCCACAGGGTGCTGCAGCATTCGGTGGATGTGACGGAGGAGGACCGTGGCCCCAGCCGCAGCAACCGCATGGAGATGTCCATTTTTTATGTCGTCTACTTTGTGGTCTTCCCTTTCTTCTTTGTCAACATTTTTGTGGCTCTCATCATCATTACATTCCAAGAGCAAGGAGACAAAATGATGGAGGAATGCAGTCTGGAGAAGAACGAGGTATGGTGTGGGGAGGGGGAAAGAGGACATTTCCATGGGTTTTCTGCAGTTTGGGAGCTTGGAGCTCCCTAGATGTTGAAAAGGTGTAAGAAACCCATGAGTCATCTGCCTGCCCAGCCCATGAAGGAAAGAAGTGTGGCAGCTGCCGTCCCCCACCTTACCATCGGCCAGAGTCTGATGCACGTTGTTTTGTTCCAGAGGGCCTGTATTGACTTTGCCATCAGTGCCAAGCCCCTCACGCGGTACATGCCCCAGAACCGGCACACCTTCCAGTACCGGGTCTGGCACTTTGTGGTCTCCCCATCCTTCGAGTACACCATCATGGCCATGATAGCATTGAACACCGTGGTGCTGATGATGAAGGTGAGCTGGTCAAAGTGAGCCTGTCCTGTTTGAGGCACTGGGGAGAAGGAGGATCAGTCAGGATGGGAATGGAGGGTATTCTGGGTGTTTCTAGGAGATGCTTTGAGACAGAGTCTGAGCATGTATTCCCTTGGCATAGTCACTTGAAACACCACATGGCCCAAACTGGAGCTGAGATCTTCCCTAAATGAGATGACCCAAACGATCTGGACCTCTTAACTACTGCAGAAAGATCTGGATTTACTCTGTGCTTCCTTCTTAGAAGGAGTGGCAGCTGTCCCGGGAGAGGGGTGGAGAGGGGAAGGAGGAGATGGTCTTGAGACACCCAGGGCAAGGAACCCAGGGCAAGGACCACCACAGGTCTTCCCTGGGACAGTCATCAGCCAAGAGGCTGGCAGGCCCCCTCCTGGCTAGCAATGTCTCTCTCCTTCCATCAGTACTACTCTGCTCCGTACACCTATGAGCTGGCCCTGAAGTACCTGAACATCGCGTTCACCATGGTATTCTCCTTGGAGTGCGTCCTCAAGATCATTGCTTTTGGCTTCCTGGTGAGTGGCTGCCCCTGTTCTTGGTAAGGGTATTAATTTGGACTTTGGCAGCACACAGATCACAGAGGGAAAGTGTTAATAATGTGAGGTGCTATTTATTTATTTTAGGTCCCAGCCTGAGAGCTGCTTTTAGGTTGGAATCGCTCCTTTGCTTCTCATTAAACTTCCCACTGCTGGATGCTGGTGGGGGAAGCCATGCCGTTGCTTTACTTTTTGTCTTGTTTCTACGGTACTCTGGTGCCTGGACCATGTATATGCTGTGCCTTGTCCCTGGGAGCCATGAGATGCTGGTGCATTGCAGCCCTAGGGCTGAATCAGTTGGACGAGACCTGACCAGCAGTGAGACCTCCCTGCCTAATTCACAGCCCTCAAGTCCCCAGCTGCTCATTTAAGATTTGAAGCCACAGACTGCTTTTTATTCAGCTACTCTTTGCTGCTTATGAGCAGCTGTTGGATTTGCTCTTTTATCATTTCTTTCCTGTTTCTAACCCATACTGGGAGATGAGGTCCACTACCAGGAGGGTTTCTAGCCACCCTCCCTGCTCCCAGTGGTGCCAGCCATGGTCAAGTCCAGTCTTGCACCAGCAGAAACAGCAGGGGCTGAGGTGCATCTGGGTGCCCACAAAGAGGAGGGCAAAGCTGCCTCATGGCTGTGAGGGTCAGTGTGATGAGCTCTTGCAGCCTGACTGGGCTGGCTGTGGCCCCTTTTCCCGCTCCCATTCACCAGTGTGGCCTGTCAGATGTGAGTCATCTCCCAGGAGAGGCTGCTCACTGCAGACACGCTCAGGTCTACCACCATCCCAGACGCAGGACGGTGCTCCAGACCGTGGCTGCATACAAATGGGCAGCAAGGTCTTTGCCATCACCGCTGTTGTCCATGAGCAGCCTTGGCCCGTGGCCCAGCGCCCTTCAGACCTGCCATCCTTTAGCTCAAATCAGTGTTCCCTCTCTCCTTCCTTTTGCAGAATTATTTCCGGGACACCTGGAACATCTTTGACTTCATCACCGTCATTGGCAGCATTACGGAGATCATCCTGACGGACACCAAGGTGAAGCAGGGGCTGGGAGCAGTGGGGCAAACTGCTGCGGGGTGGGGGGCTCCCGCCTCCCTCTTGACCCTCTCATCTCCTCCCAGCTGGTGAACACCAGCAGCTTCAACATGAGCTTCCTGAAGCTTTTCCGGGCTGCTCGGCTCATCAAGCTGCTGCGCCAGGGTTACACCATCCGCATCCTGCTCTGGACGTTCGTGCAGTCCTTCAAGGTGAGTCAGAAGCGCCCTGGTCTCCTCCCAGACCATGGTGCTGGGGTACTGCTCCCAAGGTCTTGCTGACTTGTTGGCTTGCAGGAGAGACGGATCAGCACAGCTTACCTGCTCGCTGTGCTTTATGTACTCCTCTGGAGCTGGACCTGTGCTAACTGAGATGACTCATGTGCTTCTCTTGCAGGCCCTCCCCTACGTCTGCCTCTTGATCGCCATGCTTTTCTTCATCTATGCGATCATTGGGATGCAGGTGAGCACAGACATATCAGTGTGCATCCCTCGGGTGCGGACAGGCTGGACCAACATGTCCTCAGCATTATGCACAGCAGCCAGCCTCGTGCCTGCCTGTCATTGCTTCGCTTGGTCACGGTGTCTGGGAAGGTCTCGAGGGTGGAACAGCTTGTTGGGAGCTGCAGAGCTGCATGCCCTGGGGGGGCTGCCACAGGCTTGATCAGTCAAGCTTCACAGCTGCCTTCCCCACTTGTACCCTTGGAGATGCGGCCTTGGGGACTCAGTTGGGCATCCTGTGTGGCAGCTGCTTTCCAATCGCCGCCCCTTCGTTTCATAGGCACTTCAATTTTAGAAATGACACCCCATCTCCAACTCCCTAGCAGCCCCCAGAGATTGATTTCATGCCTGAGGGACTTGGTGAGTGACCTTCTGCCTTTCCCATCCAAACGGCTGGATCACAGCCTGCCATCCACCTTGTCCCTCTGTGGAGGGATGATCTGATGGTCTGCTTGGGCTCTTGTGCTTAGGGACCTGCAGTGACCTACCAGAGGGGTGGGAGGTCTGCAGAGCATGGAAAGACATGAGCTTTCCAGGCTCCAATGGGTAAATAGGAAGCGCATGAGCTAAACCCCACACATGCTGACAAAGCATCTTTGATGATGAGCGCTTGGGATCTGGAGCCGCCTGATGAGCAAGCCGCCACAGAACCCAACATGATTGCCTGACATGCGCTGCCAGGACGGGCAGATTTTGGGGAGGCAGTGGGCAGCATTGGTGGCCTCCTGCTCGGGCTGCTTGGCAGTGCTGGTGTTTAGTCTCTTCCATCCCATTTCTCCCACCCCGAGAGTCGTGTGGCTGGTTTTGGCCGCTCTGTCCTACACATGTCGGCACCGACTCCAGGTGTTCTCTGTGCTAAACAACCACCATCTGACTCAGCCCCCCTCCCTGCTGTGTGGTAGTATTTGATTTATTTTATTTTTTTTTAACACCATTGTGAACAAATCCCCAAGCAGTAAAGTCTGTGGGCGTTATTTGAGCAAAATAGCTGGAGGCAGAAAATATTCTACAATTACACATTCCAAAAAACCTGTACAGGGAAAAAAATACTCTGCAGTTAGTGTATTTTTAGGTTCACGGAAAGTGGAATAAATATTTAACAGTAATAACAGCACATTTTTCCTATTTGAGGCACTCTATGGATGTTCGTTATGTCCTACCACGGCTTTGGCTGTGGGTCATTATAAGGATATTGTCCATGTCTGGGGCTTTGTTGCCTCTTTTTTGCCCTGGGGATGGCAGTCCCCAGTGTCTGGCTGTCCATGGTGGGTTAGCAGTTGGTCTGCCCCTCCCTCACTGAGCCCTTCCCCACCAAGGGAAAAGCTCCTGGGAGTTTCCAGCACTGTGGCCCAGCACCCACCCAGGGTGGTGCGACTCATCCCTCTGCCTCCAGTGTGCTTGGGACTGCTGGGTGCCATGCGGTGCTTGGATGCTTCCCGTAGCACAGCAGAGGGATGGATGTGGAGCGGTTGGACTCAATTGATCCCAGGTCTTCCATGCTCCTGTTTCCATGGCAGCTTGGCCTCTCGCAGCCTTTGCCACCCACTGCAAATCCCTGCCAAGGAGAGGAGAGTCTCCTTCCCAATGGCTGCTCAGCGCCAGCTCCTTGGTGTGCTGCTTGTGCACCGGTGTGCATTCGCTGGGGCGCTTTTCCATGGGGGATTGCACAGTGGTGATGGATGTGGGCTGCTTTGGAGGCCAGCTGTGCTAAGGGTGATGGGCCTGGGGCAGGATCAGTCCGTGCAGCACAGGGGTGCATGCCCATGAGCCAAGGTGAACGTGCAGCCACTTCCACTGGCCAATGAGCTCTTACCTGAATAACTGAGCCCTTTGCCTTCCTCCCATAGGTTTTTGGCAATATCAAACTAGATGAGGAAAGCCACATTAACCGGCACAACAACTTCCGGAGCTTCCTGGGCTCCCTCATGCTCCTCTTCAGGTAGGCAACCACAGAAAACTCCTTTGGCAGTATTTTTGGGTGCAGGCATGCTAGGAGCCAGCCTGGGCAGGTTCTCACCGCAGGTGGAGGTCAGCTTTTGATGCTAGAAGGCAGCTGGGCAACACATGGCCACAGGAGCTCAGGATCTCCTTTTTCTTTTTTTTTCACCCTGCCCTGAAAAGGATGGCTGTCTCCCAGCTCTTTGGATGGGCTGGCTGGGGGAAGTTGGCCCCATGTCCCAGGAGCTACACCCTGGCATGGTTGCACTCCTGTGGGTCGGTTGCTGCTGACCCAGTGCCTTGCTTCTCTGCATGCCGGAGATGTGCTTAAATTGGCTAGGGGATTGCACAGCTTCTTCTGAGGCTTCTCCTGGGGGCATCCTGCCATGGCTCCGTCTCGTGCCACCACAAGCTACTGAGCACAGGCGTGTTGGGTGCAGGAGTGCCACGGGAGAGGCATGGCAGGAGATCATGCTGTCCTGCCTGGAAGGCAAAGGCTGCGAGCCAGACACAACGGCGACGTCCGGGCAGAATGAGAACGAGCGCTGCGGCACTGACCTGGCCTATGTTTACTTTGTCTCCTTCATCTTCTTCTGCTCTTTCCTGGTGAGTTCCTCCCCTCTGAGAGCCGTGAGGGTCCCTCTCATCAGCCTCCTAACCTGCACCACCGCCATTGCGTCATCTGCCATCGTTCATCTTCCCACAATTACCCTTCCTTCTCTGCCTCCCTTCCCTTCTCTGCTCCCTCTCCCCCCACTTTCCTTTCTCTCCGCCTTTTTCTCTTTCACTTAGATGCTCAACCTGTTCGTGGCAGTCATCATGGACAATTTTGAATATCTGACACGGGATTCCTCCATCCTGGGACCTCACCATCTAGATGAGTTTGTCCGGATCTGGGCAGAGTATGACAGAGCAGCGTGGTATGTAGCCAGCTCCTTCTCTCCCGAGCAACCTCTCAGAGCTGGTTTTAAACAGGTGTCCCGGTGTTCTGCCATTGGAAACCAGCTGTGATGCCCAGGACGGTCAGAGAAGGGCTGCTCGCACTTGCAGTCATTACAAGGGCAGCAGCCAGTTCCTACAATGCCTGCCTGGTGGCACAGGCATCTTGGGTGATGTTCACGGTTTGCCATGGTGTTTCTCCTGAGTGCTGGAGGTTCCTGCTCTTCCTCTCCTCCCCAGCCAGCGGGCAGGTCCCTCTCAGCCTCCTTCCCTGTCCCTGTGCACCAGCTGGGTGCCTCTGCACCAAGAACTGCTCCATCGCCTGGTCCCCAGCACCCACAGCTCCCCATCAGAGCAGGGCTGAGCATGTCTCCATGGGGAGACACCAGGGGTCTGCTGGGCTCCTGCCAACTCACCTACAGAGGACCTTGTCTGGAATGTGTTTCCTGGGGTAGGGGCATTGTGTTCCTATGCTGGCCAGCCCACTCGCCCCTCTAGAGACAGGAGGACTTTGTTTTCTGCACTCGTGCCTTTGCTGATGAGGAACACAGCAAACAGGGCTCCCACCTGCAGGCAGCAGCTTGTTCCCAGCAGCCATATAAACCCTGGGTGGCCGGGCTTTGGCACCGCTTCCACTGCTGCTGCAGAGGAGCTGCTCTCTGCCAGTCCTCCCAGCATGGTCTGGAGCATCCCTAGGGCAGTGTGGAGCCCTCGGCAGCTCTGGGAGCCCGTTTGCCCTCCACTCATTCCCAGCTCCACAACGGACTCTTGTGTGGCCCCTTCCTCCCTTCCCCAGCCCAGGGACGGCCTCTTTGGAGCCATGACCCACCACCGCTGCGCCGGGGAGCATTGGCGAACTTAGCTCAAGGGCTTTGGCAGCCACATGCCCTCCCTTTGGAGGCTCTTCACCTCCACTGCTAATGCCCTGCCCCTCGAGAGACCAGCTCGAGCCAAGATATTATTTATGCCTAATATCATCAGCTCCTGGCATAGTTTCCTCCCCTGTTTCTGTCCAACCCTGTGCAGCTCAGTGCTGGCCAGGTTCCTCCCCACATGGCCTCTTCCAGCACCCTTGCTGCTACGCAAGGCCCCCGTGAGCAAGTGGGTTTGCTTGTTAGTGGGTGACTGTGCCTTGTGCGCAGGGGAGAGGTTGGCATGGGTGAGTAGATGTCTTGATGGTCAGCTAGAGAAGGGAGAGGAGGCGAGAGCAGTGAAACACCCAGCAGCTCGATGTGGGGCTTCTCACCCATGGCTTTGGGAAGGATTTCTTCACAACAGGCACTTCATTCACTCTCACCCCACATGGTGGTGGCCTGGGTCTCCAGGACAGTCACTGAAAAAGTGCCTGAGCTGTCCTGTTGATGCCACGCACCCCTCTGATTTCTGAGCAAGCCCTGCTCTTTTGTCATGTTATGTAGGCAGGGATTAGGGGACATGCACAGGAGCTGGTGGTGCTGGGCCCATGGGGCAGCCCTGGCCCCCATTGCTGGGTGAGGAACGGGTGAGTACATCCAAATAGGTCCCACCACCTGAATGGGGCAGCAGTTCTGCATCCTGACACCGACACCAGCACATGAAGTGTCTTGCAGGGGGACTGCCTGACACCAGGGGGGCTCAGGAATGGTTTTTGCCCAGATGGTTGGGTTAGCTCTGGCCAGTGATGGCGAGGGGATGGAAGAAGAGCAAGGAGAAACCAGAGGCAAAGGCGCTGGGTAGGATGGTAATGCTGATCTTTGCCTCCTCATGCGGTTTCCCTCCAAGCTTGTCTAAGGATGCCCAGGAGGCTGCAGCACGCTGCACCTCAGCACTTCCACCCCACACGGTCCTGCTTCCTGAGGGGCTCTGCTCTGGAGTGGAGTGGGGAGCTCAGCATCCAATGGCCCCTGCACCCTATCCTCCCAGCTCTCTGCCTCAACAGCTTTGTTATTTCAGCCGGTGCAGGAGGGATATGGGCCATATCCTGTGACGGCTGCACCCGGGTCGGGGGAGATGCGCTTCTGTGGGCGAGAAGGGGTGTGTGTATGGGCGGGTTTGCTTCTAATAATGTGTCTGGTCTGGTGGTCTGAGCACAGGACTAGACCGCGAGAGACCTAGGTGCTAGTGCCAGAGCCACTGGTCACCAGCTGGTCACATTATCTCTCCCCGCCTCAGGTTCCCCAGATACTGGAGATACAAAGTGACTCAGCTGCCAACCTCCCTGGGACCTTGGGAGGACCAGAGAGTTGGCCATGCAAGGGCAGGCTCTCTGGTGGTGTGATGGGACACAACTCCATCAAAAGGGCTTGTGATGGCTAGAACCCAACCAAGCTGCAGTCTCACCCCATCTAAAATCCCAGCCCTCTCCCACCAGGCGTAGGCGGCCAAGGGCATGATGAGAAAGGGTGATGGGATGGTGTTCACTGCCAGAACTGTCCTTCTTGTGGGTCAAGATGGGTCAGTGTGAGGAGGTGTGAGCTGACTCATGGTGGAGAAGGCAGTAACAGATGCTCACAGCTTTTCCCTCTCTGGGTCTGACAGAGCCAGAAGGAGAAAAGCTGTGCACACACGGGGGGTCTTGCCCCACAGATGGCCCCAACATCCCCCCGTTAAGCTCTCCATCCTCCCCTCCACCCTCTCAGTGTCCTATTAACCCACCTGTGCTTCCTTTGCAGCGGCAGGATCTCGTATAAGGATATGTACAAATTAGTACGGGTGATCTCGCCTCCTCTGGGCCTAGGAGAGAACTGCCCCTACAGGGTGGCGTGCAAGGTTTGCCTCCCAGTCCTCCGCCACAACCTGGCCACGGGACGCACCATCCACCCCTCCCACCCCCCCGCTCCACCGCCACCGCGCCTCCCGAGGGAACCCTGACGTTGCTTTCCTTCGAGTTTAAAGAGGTCCGCGGCCTCCCAGAGCCAGCAGCTGTCCTCCTCGAGGGGAGGCATGAGTGGGGCCAGGGGGGGCTCAGAGCCTCCCAGGGTGGGTTTCGACAAATTGCGTCCCCCAGCCAGCCCCACACCCCAGCTCTGTCGGCGCAGAGAGCCCCCAAAGGGTGCTGGGCTAAATGCCACCACCCCTGCTTGGCTTCTCAAAGTGCCTTCATGTGGGAGCAGGAGTTTTTTGGGGTTCAAGTGTGCTTTACTCCTGGTGAGGGAAGGGGGAGCAAAGGCAGGAGGATGTTGGGGACTTTGTCTTTTTTTGGAGAGTGAGGACTGGGGGGAGGACGGGGAGGCCAGGGTGACCCCTAACTTTGGGGGATGCCGTGCTGTGCCCAACAGACCCTTCTGCAAGCGTGGCACTCAGAGGACACATGACCACCTCTCTGGGGAGCAGGACTCTTGCTAGTCTTGCCCTTGGCTTGCCAGACCTGATAGGAGGAGGTGGCACCTGGACACATCTCGAGCTCAACAGCTCCTCTCCCTCTGCTTGAGCCAAGCTCCCAGCTGCTGGCCGTGAGTCCATGGGAGGGTTTGGCCTCCTTGTGTCTCTCTGACTTGCACATTTTTTAAAAAAATTGTTTTGGGGTGACAGTTGAGCAAAATCCTGCATCTGCTGTCTTCTCTGAAGTGCCATGACACCCATGCCTGTGTTCATGGCACAAAAGGGTGAACCACAGAGCTCGCTCTTCCCTCTGCATCCCTCACAGCATCTGAGAAGATGGACAAGGGAAGCTCAGATGCCCCCAGCCTGTGATCTTGGCTCTGCAGGGTAAGAGGGTTGCTCACCGTGGCCTGTTGTAGCTGCCACCATCCTCCCTAACGTATCAGAAATGCTTCTTCCAGCCAGCATCCCTGGAGCAGGTCTGTCACCCTCCACAGCTGGTCATGGGGATGATGCACGCATTTGAAATCTTGAAATAGACCACCAGAAGTAAAGCAGAGCAAGCGAGACAAGACTGGGACTCTTGGTCATCTCATTTATGAAGAGGTGTTTTGCAGTAGATTTCTTGCAAGAATCTCAGATGGCTCATCTGTTCAAGGAGGGGCTCTTCTTGTTGCATCCCTGGCAAAGGATGGTGGCTTTGCCGAGGGCACTTGCTCAGGTCCCTGCAGACAGAAGACACCTTCAGGAAGAATTCCTAACCTTTCTCATTTGACATCAGGGCTTCACTGGCAAACGCTGCTCTCCTAAGCTGGATCAGCTGATGCTTAGAAAGGTACCTGTGATGCTTCCTGGGAAGAGGGAGCTCTGCAGCAGTCTGGGCTTTCTGCTGACTCTGTGGGATGGACAGAGCAGTGAAGGTGGGTAACCTCAAGGGGAGGTGGAGGCAGAGAGAGTGAGACCAGCTTCTGCTGTCATGTGAGACACCATTCCCATCTCTTCCTTGTATTACCTTGGTCTCCTCCTCCCTGTGCATGGGCTATTTCAAGGACATGAGAGATTTTCAGGGATTTCTACTGCCCTGGAACAATTCCCAAAAGGCAATTGATGAAGAAAGAAAACCCATGTGGTTGTTGCATCTCACCATCATGGTCCAGATCCCAAAATGCCAACCCAACCTGCTCACCTTTCAGTTTGGTGAGCCTGCCCTGCACATCACAGTGCAGAGGTTCACCTTCCTGGAGCCCGCAACCCTATCCTGCAAGGCAATATGACAACGATGACTTGCAGAAACAACCACCGATGTGTTTATGGAGTGGTGGACAGCCTGCTCCGGAAGAGATGGTTCTTGCTCAAGTTCAGGATGCAGCATGGTGGTGCAGCGTGGTATGGAAGCATAACCACCAGGCCATCTGCAGGTGGGCTAACAACAGGGCGTTGATGCAGGAAGACTTCCCATGGAAGTCCAGCAAGCTCTGTCCTTATGCTGGGGAAAGCACTGGGGAGAGCAGGTCTTGTAACCAAATCTTGCTGGGACTGTATCCTAGCAGCCAGCTCCACTCCTTGGGGCTATCTCTACCTTTCTTCACCTCCTCTGCTTCCAGCAGTCAGAAAAAAGTCAGCCAAGGCATCTCTTTTGCCCCCTCAGAGTAGCCCTTGAGATGATCATGGGTCAGGCAAATGTTCCACAGACATTGATGTCCCTGTGGACATCTCCTATTCCTGAATCTACTCTCACATCACTTGCTATTCTGGTGCTCTGTTCCTAACAGCCTGGCATGGCACAGTACTTATTTTCAAACCACAGGAGGACAGATGTCCCCCAGGTTTCCCCCTCCATCACTCACAGGGTTCTCTCAGAGCACCAGGACTGAGCCATTAGTACCTGGCAGTTTTACAGGCCACCCTGGGCCATAGCCACAGGGCACATCTCCATCCAGACGCAGGGCAGATGGCCAGCTCTCTCATCAAGGATGCGCCTATGCTGGGACCAGCTCTTGGGACCAGCCATCCTGTTCAGATGGATGTCATTCCACGTGCCTTCCTGCTCTCCACTCCATGGGGATGTGTTTTCTGGGCACTGTTGTGCTGCTCAAAATGCTTTAAGATCTCTGCTATGAGAAGCAGCAAAGTATGCAGCCTGTCTGTGAGAACGGACAGTGTGGTCCTTCTTGGTTACTGATGCGAACTCTTCCTTTCATGGGAATCCATTCCTCCTTCATCGTGCAGAGAATTTCAGTATGAGAGTCAGTGTCTGACATGCGCTGGGTACACTAAGCCCCCACCAGGAAGGGTGGGTGGAAGATCACTGTCTTGCTTCCTTTTTGCACAAAGTTCTTGAGCATGAAAAGTTTGAAGTCATCTTCTTCCCTTCAGACACCTCAAGTCAGTGCACATCCAGCTCTGCCATGGTGCTGCTTTATGGACTCCTGGACCTGGATATTTCCTCTTGATCATCCCACTTCAACGTCTCCAGCATTGCTACCAATCCTCTTTTCAACTCGTTTAGGTGTGTCAGGTCTCAAGGGGGATGGCTTGCCCAGCCTGTTCTGTGCCTGCACCCCAAACAGCGCCCACTGCGGCTCATCACCATCCCTAGTTCACATCCAGAATATCAGGACTAGTCTTGGTGGGGGCCTCTTTGGTCAGGGGACTGCTTCCAAACCAGCCAGTACCCCCTGAGAAGAGGAGATATTTTCTTATCCCCTTTTTACACTGTTCTCAGCACATGGCTAGGGAATTAGCTAGGATCCCCCAGAGGGGCTTAAGTTTTTGTCAGTACCCTCTCTCACAGGCCACCCTGGCTGAGACAGGTTCCTCTCCAGCAGCATCCTCCCAGTCTAGCCATAAGGGTTGATGCCTTTGCTGTTGCAAGGTTGCCCATGCCCATTCACTATCCTGAACATTGCAGTGCCTGGCATGAGGGGAAGAAGAAGTGGCTGAGCCCAGGATCCCCGGGGGATGTACTTGAGTGGCCTCCTGGATGTGCAGAGAAAGAGAGGCACAGCCCAAATATCTCAGCCTGGCAGAGGGCTCAAGACATCATCGGGTGGCCCATTTTTGGTAGTGTTCCTCACTGCAGCAACCCTAGGCAAGTCCTTACAGAGCAGAGGAGCACGAGGTGGGGGTCCATCCTAGCTGCCTCCCTTGGGTAACCCAAACGAACCCCAATGTTGGAAGGCCCAAACAGCTGCCTCTGCTGAGACTCTTTAAACTCCAACCTGGTGGAACTTGCAGCCGCATGTGGGAGAGAGCCAGGGCGGGAGCATGGCATGTACAACTTTTCCTCCCGGTTTTGTTTTTTCAGCCAATTCAGCATGCCTTTTGCACTGGTGCATGGTGGGAAAGTGGTCCATCCGCAGAGCCAGACGGAAGCAACTGGGCATCTTCCTTTGACAAGTGACCCTGGCCCACTGCCTTCTATGCAAGATGCTGCCTCCCAATTGCATAGACCTTATGAGCTGGGGATACACAGCCTTCTGGCTATGGGTTAGGTGGCGATGCAAAGCAATACTCAGGCCCCCCCCCCCGGGGGGGAGGACGCTACGGAGGCCACAGAGCGCTGTGGTGCAAACCACCGTTATCTCAAATAACCCATGGCTTGAGTGCCGTGTATCTGATTTATACCACTCACACACAGCCCTGGAACCTGTGGGACAAGTTGGGGGCTGCTGGAGGGCTTTAGGAAAGGGGTTGAGACCAGAGAAGGACTCCCAGACTGCTAGCGAGACAGGCGCTTGAGGCCAGCAGCAGAGAGGCGAGGGGTGAGTTGCTTTCTGCCAGCATTCCTGGGTCTGTGTGAGCAGTGCTATAAATCCACATCAGGACAGTCTCTCATGTATGATTTGCCTTGATTAACGGGTTTCCTGTTCTTTTCCTGTTTGTCCGTTTGTTTTTTCTCTCCTGTTTTCCTGTACTATTTTTGTTTGTACGTTTTTCTGCTCTCTGGGAATGCCTCCTCTCTCTCTGCATCTCCCTCCCTCCCCTTCCCCCTTCATGAGCAGTGGCCGAATCCATTACACTGAGATGTATGAAATGCTGACTCTTATGTCACCACCGCTAGGCCTCGGCAAGAGATGTCCTTCCAAAGTGGCCTATAAGGTAGATCAACCCTTCCTTCTACGGGGGCTAGAGCCGAGCAGGAGCCGGGGCTCGAGGGACCTGTGGGAGGTGGGGCTGGGGGGAGCTGGGGAGGCTTTGGGGGCATCCAACATGTGTTTAGCTTGCTCCTGGGAAGTCTGGTGCGCTCAGGAGAGTCCTGGCCATGCTGGCTGGTCTCCACTGCCCATGCAGGTGACACTGCTGTGGTCACTCACAAGCCCAAGGAGCTCTGGGGTGGAAGACCCCAGTGGAACAAGAGGGGCAGGATCAGCAACAGTGTGGAAGTGGAAGGGTTGGAGAAGCTGAGGTGAGGAGCAACCCCGTAGCACAGTTGGGAGGGTGGGATGTCCCCAGGAGCTCACTGGCCCAAGCTCATCCCCTGGGCTTGGAACCATCTTTGTCCTAGCCAGCGCAGAAAGAGGGGTAAAGCCCATGGAGATGGCAGGCAGGTGGGCAGCCAGGACTTATCCTGAAGGAGCAGCTCTGCAGCGCGTGAGGTGCCAGGCACATCGGCACGAGCTATCCCAGCGATGGCTTGTGCAAGACAAAGCCAGGTGCCTTCAAGAAGCGGCTCTGAGTTTTTGCCCCCTTGCTCCTCCTGGGGCGGTGTCCAGCAGTCAGCTCACGGCACAGGCACGGCGTCCTCCCGGCTGCATAGGCGTGGAGCAGGAGCGTGGGAAGCACTGAAGGACATGGGGTGGGAGCTGCGTGGCTTTGCTGAGGGCAGGAGCTGCTAGGGCAGAACCCAGAGCTACAGAGCAATGTGTTGTCCAGGTCTGGAGCAAACTGAAGCTTCCCTTGGCCCCGGGCTGCTGCCTGCGGCTCTCTCAGCAGCATTCAGGGCTAGCGAAGGGGGGATTTCTACACACTTGCAAACGCGCTGCCACCCTCTCCAGCTCTCATGTGTTTGTTCACACACGCATACATCCACCATCCATGAGAAAAAGGGAGGCTTGAAGGCAGGGACAGGACATGAGAAGCTGGGGGAAAAGGAATGGGCAGGGAAGGGATGACCCAAGGTATTCACAAAGCAAAATATACTCTCTGGAAAGTGGATCTGGTCACTTCGGTTTGCACCCCGCCTGCCCAGGATGGGGAAGGAGCATGGCGTGTCTAACCTGCCTTGGTTGCCCTTCTCTCTTTCCTTCTGCACTTCTTCTACCCCTCCTTCCCTTCCCCACCCTTGGATAATTTGGACCCTGTGCATGTGCTGGCAAACTTCATCTCTGAAAGACGCAAAAAGGGAGCGCCAGGATGTAGCATGCTAGAGGAATCCAGCCGATCTGAAGTCCCTGAAGGTTAGGGACCCTCCTCTCCCCTGCCCCACGTGGGAAGGGTTGAGAGCCAGAAAGCCAAACAACTCAGGAATGGAAACCTGAGCCCCCATCTCCCCTTCCCGAGCATTCTCCACGCCCGCATCCCTGATGGATCAGGCGTGTCTTCCCAAAAGTGCCGGGAGGTGCCATGGCAGCCCCGGTGCCGTGGGGAGGGGGGCTCAGGGTCCGTTCCTGGGGCGCAGGAGGAGCCCTGGAAGGCAGTGAGCCGGTGTCCTGGGGTG